GAGGTTTGGCAAATTGCAACGGTTGGATGTGACCTTATAAGGGTATAACGGTAATCGAAGGGAACTATTTCGCCTGTTTCGTCCATTTACTAAAGTAATTCGCCTTTTCTGTATTCTCTCACCACTACCACTAACTCACCTATACGCATCCACTATTTGTTCAATCCTCTTTTCTCTCTTTTTCCTTCCACATAAAAGCGGCTGCTGATCGGAGCACAGTGGCGGAGGCGCAGGCCATCGCCTTTCGCTTCGCCCTGCCGCCGCGGTGACGTCAAAACCGCGCCGCATACGAGCCCGGGTGAATTTTTTCCCTTCTCCGGTCAAACTCAGTCCTCCTGGCATGGCCTCCCTGCCTCCCACGCAGAGAAAAGGATGCGTGGGTAATTTGTGAGAAATCGTTCACCTACCCCGTACTTGAAGCCATAATCGCTCCTTCATGCCGTCCAACCTAATTTTCTAGCTTATTCTGAAGAATGTCTTGGATACCGAGAAGTTCTCCATAACCGACAACTGGTCAATGTCCAATTCGATTCGTTTCCAGAGCGTGGCGCCTATAACCTGTTGAGGGAGGGGGGGGGGGGGCTAGACTTGTGAGCGCTTGCCAATGTGTGTATGCCTTGAATCTTTCTCTTGTCTTTTCACAGCCATGTTTCACCCTGAAAGTCCTGTAAATTCCTGAAAAAAAACCCTGCCAAGCTTGGAGAAATGGTTCTAGCGTGATTTGAACACCATTTTTCCACTTTTTTTTCATATCTTGACCGCTCATACTGGCAAGTTTGACAGGATTTTACAGGGCGCTTGGAAGGGAATAACAAGACTCACAGGGGGTTGACACAGTTGCCCGGTATTCACATGCATACAATTTACACAAGTTGGTATGCTGACAAGCTGCTTACAAGTGTGGCAGCCCCCCCCCAAAAAAAAAATTTTGCTTGCATCAGAAAATGTCCCACTTGTGATCAGCTGCGCTGAGTAGCGTTTATGAGATTTTCAAGAAAATCACATGCCCGCTACGTTCACAACTGTTTACCTGATGCCTCCCCCAATCGGATTTACGCTTTTTCTTCTATTGAGTTGTTTGCAGGTCGTGTCCCTCCCATTGTTTAGCACAAAGAAAATGTACAACAGGAGCCGTGCCGGCAGCAGCTAGAGCGGTTTTACAGACTTCCTGGCCACATTGTGGACAAAATCGGAAGAGATCCATAAGTTTCCTTCCTCTGACGAGAAAAAACCTATCTAATAGTGTTGGATCAGTTTCAGGGAAGTCGACCTCTTCCGGCTCTGGTTGCTCTGTTTTAAGCGAAGAATTGTCGAATAAGTCATTACTAGTCACAGGTTCGGCTGTGGTAGTAACTTTTGGCGGTACAACTAGAAATAGTGGGCTAGAAGTGGTACTGGGCGGTGGTACCCTCACTTCTGGTTTCACATTCTGTATGAAAAATATTGAATTAGAAGTGGTAGTGGACGGAAGTGCCCTCACTTCTGGCTTCACATTCTGCACAAGAAATAATGAGCTAGGAGTAGTATTAGGCGGAGGTGCCTTCACTTCTGGTTTGCCACTCTGCATTTGCACTTCAGACGCATCAATAATAGCCTAGAAAATTTTATCGATAACTTGTATAAGGAGTGGCTGATTGAATAAGAATAGTTACCTGTAGGTTTCTTTGCCTGTTTTCAGTTGCTCTCAATTCGGACATATACAGGTTGTAGAACCCTGTCAAATCGAACGGGCCTATCTTTATTTCCTCCTGAAAAGCAGTGCTCTTCAGTTCGACGAAGACTCTCTTTACAGTAACAACTTGATGCAGGTGATTAAACTTTATCAAGCATGCCGCTAGTTGCCAGCCCGCGTTGGCTTTTTGAAGAACCCGGAAATATTTTCGGGCTCAGTGCCATGGGTCTAGCTCCTATAATCATATGCACTGACAAAATTAATTAAGCCTGGCAGCAGCGCAGCTCCAATCCTGACAGGACTGAATGTAAGCGCACATCTTTGATAACACGATCACAAGGAAACGGCATCAAGCAAAACTTTCCACATTATGACCTCTTCATGTACTCAACAAGGGACATGCCAAGACAGAGGGGGGAGGTTGGCGCGGTGCCAGTCAATTTTGCCATCAATTTCACGATTCTCCTGGTCTTTCACGATCGGAACGGGAAAGTGGGGGCGCGATGAATCTCAGAATCTCCATAAGGTCAAAAAAAGTATATTCGAAAACAAAGGGCTTGTCCTGCCGACAAGTAATAGGATAATCTGTTTCCCGCTGGTCCTTCGCCAGTGACTACTCTGCATAGTGAGCAATGAAGGAAAAATTCCCATGGGTGAAAACTCACTGTACGGTTACGTTCAAGATGGATTTTTGCCAAGTGCGAAGTGAAGTGGTCCGCAGCTGTAAAAATTTGCCACTTCATCGCTCAAAAGCGCGGAAATGAAGCTGGCTGTGATAGCCGGATGCCGTTTCAGACTGCACAAGCTATCCACAAGGTGCGCACCGATGTCAAAGAGCCACAGCGAACAACATGATTGAGAAGCTGCTTAGAATGGCCAAGTGAAAGAACAAAGAAACGTGAGAGGGACAGACAAGCAGCGTGTTTGGCTACAGTCAGGCTAATGTCTGGTCGTGCGGCGCGTGCTTGCCTTTGGGTGGTGTTTGATCTGACTTTTGGCTATCACTAGCCTTCAGCTGCATTGTGATGGAAGATGCACATTTCTACAACGGACTCGTTCACCTCGCACTTGGCAAGAATCTTGATTCTCAAAGGTAGGCGCGAAGTGTGACTCGATTTCTCGTTCTAGCGCACTAGAAAACTCACAAGTTGTAACATTTGTGTGGGTTTTCAACCGAAAGAAAAGCAGCAGTGGGAAACAATATGAAGCGAATCAAATTCAGAAGAGCTGTACTTCACTTAACTTCTACTCAGTTCACTAACTTTAATGAAGTATCACGTTTGAAGATGCCGATTATAACATTACACTCACGTCGAAGGGGTTTTCCACCAGACCCAATTCGTTCAGTACATCCAGAATAATATTGTGATGCACGGTATCAAATCCATGAACTGAATCTTGACCAGTTCTTCTCTTGACCATTTCGCCGAGGTACAAAGCCTACAAAAATTTATTAGTGATGATTTGTGTATTGCGGATTTTCAAGAAATGTCCTATTCGTAAACAAACGAAGCGAAGGCGCCTTTCGTCGGCAACGAAAATATGCCACGCAAATCCCTCTATATGGGCCTAATATCTGTTTGGACTTGAATGCCATCACTGTGCGGGAGCGACGCGAGGATTGGCTGAACCTTGGGCTAAGCTCCCAGAAACAAGGTATTGAAAAATATAAAAATTATCAAAAAATAAAAAGAAGTATTGAAAATCAATCCTGATATGCATGCTAATGCGCGTCGTGAAGCTCCAGAAAGAAGGACCAGATCGTCGTCCTCCCGCATTGCAGAGAACTTTACAGCAACTTTTCTATTTCAAGACCCTCACTTTCCTACGACCATTTCTCACCTCCGCCAACTGTTACTCGTTCCTGTTGATACCATCAATGTCCCATTACACCACATACACTGCATGTCCCGGAGATAGGAAGGGCGTGGATTCGTACTTCACTTGAACATGACATAGGATGACTTTTTTCCAAATATATTAGGATATTTCCAAATGAGACATTTGCCGTGAATTTCTGTTAAAGAAACACATTATTATAGCTGTCCCAAAGTGGCAAGATCCCACAAAACGTAACCGCCGGCGAAATTCGAGTAAAGAGCTCTGCCCCCTTCCCTTCTCCGGGATTTGAACAAGGGCAGTAGCAATGGAAATATATTTTCTTTTATTTTTTTCCACCATAACCTCACCTAAGTGCAATCAAACGCCCAGAAAAAAAGACGTCAATTGTCAGATGGGACCAGCCGCCAACTACACTGGAGAAGATGAAAATCCTTCTTTTCCTAACGCCTCTAATCCGATCTTAACAGCTGTTAACACTTCATGTCACCCACCCTTGCATCACTCCTTGAAAAAAAGTCTCACTCTACCAGCGTAGCGCACTATAAATTCTGTGAGATGCACACAAGCACACTTAGTAGATTGTATATAGTAGGTTTATGAAAGCCTTCGAAAGCAAAAGTTAGAACTAGGAATGGGATCTTACCACTGAGGAAATTTGGGGGTCATATGCTCGCGTCGTGATGCTGCCCAGCACGTTACGGGAAATGGAACATTAGTAACGTTCGCTCGAGCGTCATAACGAAGATGGACGCTATACCACCACTACAGCTCCGAAAATTGAAAAAAAATTCTGCTGAAACTTGGTCTACAGTTGTTTGGCACCCTACCCTTTTCACCGAGAAGTGTGTTAACTTTCAGCCTGGAATTATTTGGCATTCTGATTGCGAATGAGACATTCATTCGCGACGCCAGCGCTAATATACGACACCCTGATTACCTGCGCTCTGCTAAGGCTGAACTTAGATGGGAGGGAATCGCTCCTCCTCCGGAACACAGCCTTCGCTGAGCGCTAAATTACTGGTGCCGAAAAACAGATGCTGTGTTCGTGATCAATCAACCCTACTATGCCAGAGTTATAGAATTTGGCGGAAAGGGTGGCGGCGCCAAGTAGACCCCGAGTGGGGCCAGCGAAAAAATGGAATGTCCTATCCGTGATAGGGACGTCGAATACCCTCTATAGACGTACATTCTGCGAGTTTTCTTGGGTTTTGCAGTCGTAGCAGCGGAACATTGATTAAAGGCATGTGGGACAATAATTTGGTACCCGATCTAAAATGCTGGCAGGGTATTATATAGTGAGAAGTGGCGAAGAAAAAAAAACGAAGTGAAAAGGCTCTAAAAATCTGCGAAGAAAATCCTTCGGTTTCAGTGGCACAGGAAGCAATTTCGGACGAGTTTCCTGCAGGCATCTTGCCAACAACCGCTACGGTAGATACGGCTGCATGTATGTACTCATATATCCATGCAGCACCGCGGCCGCTTCATATCAATCCCTTCGCTTCATATTTACTCCGCAAATGAAGCATACGAGCATCAGGTACGGTCGTCCATTTGTGGGCGGGCGTGGTGGGTGTTGCATAGGGCCTTATAGGGCACCTTCCTCAAAAATGCTGCTATGCAGTGCCTGCTCGGAGGCGCGGAATTCCGAGCGTATTAATCCTACTCGTCTCAAGGATTTATCGTGCCAACTGCCTTTAAGATGTGATGTAGGCATGAGCACAGATGATATTTACAACATAATTTAGTGTCTGCTACGCAAAATAAGTCCACAAAAAACAAAGTTGTTCAGAAAACTCACACTTTGCGTATAGTGATCTCCACAAAAGCGTTTCTTTGACTTGACTGTGTTATGGTACATCCTCGTCGACCGAAGAAGATCATTATAGATATACCGTGCTCTGTCCATAGTCAAAATATTCAGTTTCACCATACATGCCAACATTACAGCATTGCGTTTTGGTCGAGCCGATGCAGCTCGAGCTCCTATCTTTGATCGTTGTCGATTGCATATGTCACAGTATGCCCTCTGTGTCATTTTCTGCAAAACCTAAATTTTAGGGTTTTTCAGCAGCTATAAAAGTATTACTAATACTTCGAGTTACACCCAACTCTGAAATTATGAGGAAGAGCAGAAAGAGTATTGAAATGTAAAGTAGACGGCACGGCGTCCTCTCGTCAAGGCACGACATAGCTGGCGTTCCTCAGCGAAGGGAAGAAGGTCGTATTTGTCTTGATGAAATAGGTTTCCGGTTGTCCCCTACCCCTCGACGGCAGAGAATTTCAAGAACGAATGAAAAAAGCTCGGAAATGAGACAGGAAGGTATAAGGATTGAGGAAGATAGCAGATAGGATGGCTAAGGGGGGGGAGGTCGTACTAGGTGAGGAAGGTTTTGGGAGGATCGTATTTTGCCAAATTCTCCTCCATCGGCAGGGCGTTCCCTGCCCACCACGAAGGATATCCCACCACCACTCTGACGTCTCAAAATCGCTTAATAAGAGGGCCAAAGCCCTGTTGTTATGCTTTCTGCGCGCAGCATCTCTCTGCTGTATGTTCACATAAGGTTTACAACCTTCCAGGGGTCTCATTTGATGGTTTTTTGACGCTTCTTTGCTTTTTTCTCTGCTGGGTTGAACAGCACCCTGACAATCGTACCTGAACCCTTGCTCTTGAGTTGCTTTGAAAAGGAAAGATTAAGTTCCAGCACGTGGGTAAATAGAATGGAAATGCGAAGCTGTGAATGAAAATCCCGTGGCTGCTTGTAGTTAGGTTTGTTGCGATTTTGAACCCCCTCTGCTTCCAAATTAGCTACAGGTTGGGTGATTCGTATTTCGATCTTGAAGATTCCCATTTGCTCCGTAACACTTAAACGGCTATACACGTTCACACATTCAAAACCATTTATACTTGTGTTGATTCGGCGCTTCGCTATAAATGTAAGACCTAGGTAAAGAGCTAAAAGCAAAAAAAATGACAGCTCTTGCCGGCTAAATAAAAAGAAATAATCAAAATCGGAGAGGTCACAGTCAACTATAAACTACACATCCAGCGAATGTCAGCTACACTTAACTACGGGGGGTATTCCGATCATACAAAGCAGATCTGGTCTGTAATTTTGTAAGAAGGATTAAACTCAACTTGATCGTGAAAAGCTGCAACGCAAAAAATAAATAAAACAAGGACCGAGATGCAGTGTTCGGCGTAATATTAGGGGCACTGTATGCAACCTGCATTATGTTGACAATTTCACGTCTCACTGCCGACGGCTAATGCCGTTTGGATGTGCTGACTTTTGGCTGCGAGCTCATTTTTAAAGTGTCTAAATCACCAAATCCGCTTGAAAGTTGCACATAGAAAGGTTTAACATCCTGATTACAATTATGGCATTCATTCTTGGCGCTGGCGCTAACACCATGGTTATGTTCTGGGTTCAGCTTTAGCAGAGGGCAGATGACCGTAGTTCTCCATTAGCGTCAGCGCCAAGAATGAATGCCATAGTCGTGATCAAGATGTTAGATTACCCTTCCATACAAGTTTTCAGCGGATTTGGTCACTCTATCTAGGCACTTTAAAAATGTGATCGCAGCCAAAAGTCAGCGCGATCATTGATAGTCCATTGTGCCGAGGACACTAAGCAGCTGAGGAAGAAGCACAAGCGATTCGGCCATGTCGTGCTGCTGAGAAAAACTTCCAAACATCACGACCTCTCTCCCTCCCGATTTTATCCTGTTCTACTAACCCTTTTCCTCATCCTCCAACTTTTTCCCCCTCTCATTTTCCGAAATTGCCCAGGAATTTACCAGTTTTCCCCAAAAAGTTTGGGGGAGAGGCCAGGTATGCACCAAAGAGACGGGAAAAACGGGACAAGTAAAGTCAGCTATCGGAATAATTTTTCTCGACAGCTTTAGCTCGACGGCGGACACGACCCTCTCTCCTAACGACGTGCAACTACGCCCCCTCCCCTCCCCCGTCCCAGACCTCTCTCTCCCCGACGACGGCCCTAACTACGACCCTTTCCCTCCCCTTCCCCGCCCCTCGCGTGGACTCTCTGGAGCTCTTCCAACGATGTGCATAGCACCCCCGAAATAGGGAAAATCAACTATCAAAAAAATTGTCAGATCAGATGCGATTCCCCTCAGTCTAGTGATCAAATACGACCGCTCCCTTCGCTGGGCTTCACCAACGTAGAACGTGCCCTGCTTACAATCACCTTCAAAGAAGTCCTTCTCAATGTGCAGCACTACCGTCGATACCAAGATTCGCAGCGAAATACGCATTCAGCGGAAGAGCACAACCAGCAGGCCAGGTCGCAGGCAAGTGGCACGTTTGGCGATGGTTAGGGGTGCGACTGGAGCCGTGAGGGCTGAGTGTGGAGATTGCACTCAGGGTATTTCTCCCCAGCTTCTTGCGACTCCAGATCCTAAGATTGCCTGGCCCTTCCGGTAGGGTCTCACCGAGCGCCGTCGCAGTCGACGAATCCGCTTTAGGTCTGGGGTCCAAAAACTGGTAGTTTTTTCTCAGTGTCTCAGTGGTTCGCAATGGTAGGATCATTTCTCTCGTTCATTGTTGTTGTTCATTTGTTGCATTCTGTCGATTCGTGTAGGGCCATCGCGTCGTCTGAGCACTCAGAATCAAGGATCTGCGCAGTAGCCACTAGCAATGATTTCATGAAAGGCAACTCAGGACCGCTCACAAAACGTGCCCTATTATGGCACACACCCATGGATGCCAGCCTGCGGTATGTATGCCGTCCAGTTTGAGAGTCGGCTGCGTCCTTAAAGGCACATTCCGCGATAAAATAAGGCTATGACCTCTCAAATGTGTCGGACGATCCGGAAGGCGATTTTTGAGGCTGCGCTACTTTCAAAATGTGAAAAACGGCAAGAACTCCGCTAGAAGCTGACTAATTAGGCACCCCTTAGGCCCATGCCGACCCTCACCGGCTGCTAGCTACTAGCTAGTAGCCACTATGTTATCTTTCTCTATAACATTTCGGACTGCTTTTTCTGCTGCTTTTCTCCGCTAATCAGATACTTAGCACTTTTTTGTGCCTATTTGAGTTCCGTTTCCCGCAATTTGCGGTCGCGAACTGTGCCTTTAAGGAGCAGGTCAGGTTCACCCTCAAGCTTAGAAATCGGTGCAATGGAATTAACATGTGTAACAGTCACAAACGTTCATTTGTTTGTATTTATCGCAGTTATCTTTACTTTAAGAGTACATGACTGAAGTATGATTGATGTCTTTCCTTCAAACTCTACAGTCTATACCATTTCACACATTGCTCAACTGCTTGCAATATTTATATTTTCCCACGACATATTCTATAGTAAGGTTCGCTGCAGACGGTTGGGCGTGTCAGGCGGGGTGAGTTTGGCGCCATGCCAAACCCGTTCTCCACCGGTTGTTGAAGCGAGCAAACGATATGACTGTATCATGCTGTTCGTATTACTCGTTTTCTACCACTTTTTGTCACATGCGTGCTTCAACAAGAAGGAAGAGAACGGCTTTTATGGTGTGCACGCTCATAATCTCTGACACGCTCAACCGTTCGCAGCGAAGTAGGGTGGTGCATCGGCATCGAGTTGAGCGACTGCTCACAACCCGTTCGACTTCAGTAATCGGACCCGCCCCGTGTCGTATGTAATAACAAGCCCCTTAATGATGTAGTGGTTCGTAATGTTTCACAGTTAAGCCATTACAAGAAGGCTCGATTACGATAATCCCTTTCCCACCTTCGCGGGAACCATTTATTTTCCGTGAACCTGAAGTAGCATCAGCAGTACGACGGAGCCTCTTGAATGGATTTACAGGAGACTCCACGCGTATGATTTGTGAACCTTCAGCAAACTATGTTGTGTTCGAAGTTCCTACATAAATGCTCGTAGTTGTTCTCTCTTATATGTCGACAACTCTTCCTACTATACATTTGATTGCCTTTGTAAATCTGTTTTCTACTTCTACTCATTGTTCCGCGATAAACTACTTCGTGCACACAAATCGTCCTTTTTCTTCGTACTTTACGATATAGTCCCATAACATGACTGTTTAGATTTGGGTACAGAATTACCACCTCCTGTCAGTGATTTCTCCTGTGATGCCAACTAACAGCTCCTGCGAAGCTAACCTCACTAAATCTTATACCACCAGCAAACGTCATGGGGCTCTTCAGACACATGCATCTAATGCACGATCAAGCCTTCCCGTAGTTCGAGGCCGTCAGCAAGCATTTCTGCCATTTCTCATGGAGGTAATTCGATCAACCCGGAAACCAAGAATGTTTTGATTATATGCAAGTAACCACAAATGAGAGAACCATGGCTATAATCTGCGGCATATATATGCAATTCTGATGTAACTCGCTGTCGCCATATCCCTCGACCCTTCTTGAGCAGTCACACTTCATAACCCAAGTTTTTTTCAGGTAATTGTTATCAAAGTGCTTACTCAGCACAGGACCGCTCACATGGAATCGCTACCTAGTTCCGACGCAAAGATAAGCGTACTACCAACCCACTGAACACAAATTCTATCTGCACACCAGCATTACTTCCAGCATCCGCCTCAGGTCATCCGCCCTCAAGAAGTTATTGTAAAGCCAGCCAGCCATCATGCCGATGACCTTTCCGCCATCAACGACACCACTGCATTCATTAACCATTCAGCTGACTAAAGCCATCGCTCGAATTTCTCAAAGCTGCTAATGATTTATGCCTCAAAGCGGTGTGCTATCAGTGTCCAGTTTATGGATCGGACTACGTTGCCCACTCCAGATTTGGTATTTCTCTCTCTGAACTACATCGCAAGAGACAGTTTACCGTTTAGCGTCCACTACCATCAGAACGCACGAAATCACCACCGCTGTTGCTATCTGGCTCAGTAGACACAACTTATCGGGCTGCGACCTTGGCTCCTTCAAAGTGTTTTTTTGTTGTGCACCGCTATTCTTCAGCCTTCTTCGTAGTTACAAAGATGTCTGAGCGCATTCGATTGCACGCTAATAATGGTAGATGCTTCAAATGCGTTACACTCGGAATCGAGCGTCGTCTCAAGAAAATCGTGAAGCTCGTGAATCGTTCATCTGATATGATTGTCTAGAGTACAACGAGACAATGGGTTGAGCAATGCTACAAGCCCAGAAAGTTCATCTTAATCTTAATTGGTGCAGAACATAGTCAGCAGGGAATACTGGCATACAGGACCCTCTTCGGAAATGATATGGTTTGATTATCCCGCAAAAGCTATTATTTTTCAGTGCGCTTAACAATTGCGGCTGACGGCACATGAATGCATTATGACTAATAAAGATCTCTTTGGGCGCAGTTGGGAACATTTGATTCAGCTTAAGGCATGGCAGATACTTTCATAAAAAATTTGCACAGCGAGCGACTTTTTCCATTACGCAGTCTCATGACTCGCTGCGGAGTTTCGTAACTTCCCCAAACTGTTTATGTTAGTCAATTTTTTTTCGTTTTTCATTTTCTTTTTCTCATTTTTTTCAGCGACCTTGTTCCCGCATACTGCGTGTGATCAGTACCTCCTGGGAGCACCGGAATGAGACCGCTTCATTGATTGAACTTGAGACCTCATTCTTCAGACGTGCCTTAACCGTGTACAGAGTATCTTTTGAAAGATAATGAGACGAGGAATTCTCCCTCTATTGAGGAACAAACCCTTAAACGCACAAAATAACGCGCTTCGATCAAAACTGGCCCACTCCTCCTGCCACCCAAGCAGATGATCTTCCACCGTAACTTTTACTAATGGCAAAAAACGCTGCAGGACGTCAAGCAATGTTTCAAGCACCGAAGCGCAATCACTCACACTGGAAGCAGTTCACCTGTGTTTCCCATCCCACCCCACGAACCGTCCCACACAACACGTCCTGTCACTGTCACTAGCGGCGCAACGAGAGGAGCTCAACTTTTTCTATAAACGTTAATTGGACCCCATTAGCGGTATCCGTCACTCCGATTGACACGCATGTTATTTAGATAAGAGCTCACTGTCTTGCGCGCATTGAGATTTTCCTCGTCTCTTCGCCCCCCCCCCCCCCCACACCCGGTGTCGCAGCACGAGATCATGGATCGCGCTGGTGTTCCACTGAATGCCACGAAGACTGCCGCCTTAAGGGCTAAGCTCGAGTCCAAAAATTATGTCCCAAGAGTTTAGCAGTTGAGATAGTAGTAACAAGGTAGCGAAGAGAGACAGGCTATTTCAGTGGGAAGAAAAAATCATTCGATTTGCCCTGTGTGGAACCCGATGCCGAACAGAGGTTGTACGTGCAGAAGGCGAAGAACGTGTGGTCGGACGAGTTCTCACTTGTTGATATCATAAGATATCAGCTCTTTTACCACCTTACTCATGCTATTCGAAAATACCACCTTACATGCTATTTGAAATGAGAAGAGAGAGCCAGTAGTGGAGGACCGGCCCATCTTAAGAGAAATGAATCTTTGGCGTCCTGCCATCAACACAGTACTCTAACTTGTACCTATTTTTCTGGGCAGCTTGCTTACCCATTTCACCACACTGCTTCATTACTTGCAGAGCTTATCCACACTTATCTCACTAATCATAAGTGTAATATTTATGTAGGTGCATACATACATACGATTACATCCAGTTTATATCACTGAACTAGTCGGGTCGCAATCATTCGGTATCCGCCTGCAGCGTTCCCACAACTGGCTGTTTTCTTCCTAAGTCGATCACTACTCGATCACCATTGGTAGAATAGGGCTGCCGAACGCGGGCTAATGTCGCGTTTGCGCTCGCCGTCCGCCGACTGAACCTACAAATATACATACAGTACGTCTGTATATTTGTTCAATCAAAGTTTGTAAATCATGGGCGCATCCCAAGAGTAGAAGGGATCGTAGCGGTTTCAGGATAATATGTTCAGGGCCGTGACTGGGACGAATTGATATTATGCGACGAGAAGTTTCAGTACAGTCATGATACCTACAGACGATAGAGGAGTGTGACTCAAAGGAGATGGCATCTTCGGTTCGAACGGCTGCCTGGTTTGTTCTTTGATCCACAATGCCGGTCACCATCCCACCTTTGTTTGGCCTTTGCAGGCACCAAAAAGCTGACTATACTTATAAGTATAACTTATACTTATAACTTATAAGAGCTGCCATGGGGGCTCTAAAGACTGATTGTGCAATTTCGTTGTGATCGGCCGTGAGATTCTCAGGATGTGATACAGTTAGCGGTGTGAAGGCAGCTGATGAGTGGGTATGATGAGAAGACAACAACTGATAAAGGGCCGGGGCTTAAATTGGGGGCCACCACACATTAGGCACGAGGTTTTCCTTTCAAATCCTAATGTCCGTTACAGCATCAACAGCAGTACGATTCTATCATCTGTGATGGGAAGAGTTGTGAGAATGATAGCGTCAGATGAAGGCTCTAGTTATGGATTTTAACTTCGAACGCTCTTACGATGACAATGTTACCGGTACGGCTCAACTATCATGCTTTCGGCCACTGAAGCAAGTCTCACTCCTACTGCTATTCAAATGTGTGGTGACATACAGAATTGTGGTAGGGTGTAGAGAATGACTGTATCACTGATACTGCAACTGTACTTTGCGAGCGACTAGCGAGGCCATTTAAAGACACATAGTACGCTCACACACATTGAGGGTGTATGAGACTATCAGCCCCCCAGCTGTCGATGTGTCGTGGTCCCCCCGCCCAAACATGCCCAGGAATGGAGATACAGGACCGTGAAACACGCTAATTCCTCCATGCTCCGCCTTACACCTTTTGCGGCGCAGATTCCCGTCCTTCATAACATCCGTCGTAAGCGCGCGTGTCGCGTGCGGCTCCTTGGCACTTTGCCAAGTCCTTTAATTGCGCTCTCAATTACAAGTAAAACGCAATTTTCCTGATGCGGATAACATTGGAGGTGCTGCAAAATAAGAACAGAAGATGATGACGAGGGTCAGAACTTAAAAGCAACTGTGCCACTTCTGCAACATCCCTCGGAGGCCGCGTATTTCCACGAAACATGAAAATAAAAACGGCATACTCGTTAGTTTGATACAAGCAAAACGCAATTTCCTGATGCGAATAAAATTTTAGGTGTTGCTCATGCTTCAAAATCCATGTACAAGGAGATGAAGATGACACAGGCTAGAAATGAAGCAAACGATGTAAATGTAAATAAAACAAAATGAAAAAATCAAATAAAAAGGCAAATTAGTTAAAATCGCCTGTAAATTTCTACGATCCGGCGCGAATCCGGCGCCAAAGCCATAGAAATACTTAGAACAAACGAGTGGGACGCTTGGGTTGTTTTTATTCTCATGTTTTGTGGGAATGCGCGGCCTCTGATGGATACTGCAGATGCAGCCGAGTTGCTCTTGAGTTCTGGCCCTCGTCATCATCTTCTGTTCTTATTTTGTAGCACATGTTATCTTTTGCATTTAAAATTTTTTTCCGAAATCAGAAATTGCGTTTTACTTGTATTGAGAGCGTAATTAAAGGACTTGGCTACCAAGTGCAAGGAGCCGCACGCGACACGCGCTTACGACGGATGTTATGAAGGACGGGAATCTGCGCCGCAAAAAGGTGTAAGGCGGAGCATGGAGGAATTAGCGTGTTTCACGGTCCTGTATCTCCATTCCTGGGCATGTTTGGGCGGGGGGACCACGACACATCGACAGCTGGGGGCTGATAGTCTCATACACTCCTCAATGTGATTTGAGCGTACCATGTGTCTATAAAGCGTCCCATATCTCTACATGCGCGGGTGCATGCAAAGGTGAGACGTTCTAGAGGTAGGTGAAGCTGTGACAGGCTCCGGCAGCGGCAGCATTAGCTGCGGGGCGATCAACTAATTCGCGAATAGGTTCTTGCGCTATGGAGGTGTTCCCGTGACGAACTCAGAGGAAAGAGCGGAAGGGCAAGTTTCGGCAGCACCCGCGGTACCTACTTTGACTCAGTGAGGGCTACCACACGAAACTGTGCGTCAGCCAAACTGATATGTACATGCACTAAAGATCCCTGGAACACTGTAGGCGTGGCTGCGCTCTTACTTCGAACACGGTGGGCTCTTCGTTGACCTTTCAGTTTGGACATCCGACATCTTGTCCTGCGTTGCATAAAGACATGCTTACAACTGTGTCAAAGAAAATATCCCACCAGAAAGCTAGTCGCCGCCATTTGAGTGGAGTACACAGCCACGCCTATTACATCTCGGGGATCTGGAGTGTACCTATGAGGAATGAGGTAAGAAGCAGGTATCAGCAAAGAACCGTTGGCTTCAGAACTAGCTGGTACTAAATATTGACAGAAACTCGGCCTACACTTGAACATATGCCGTCCTTAGCAAGCTTTAGAAGAGGCTAAAAGCCAACCCAAATTGTCTCTACAATTCCGAAGGGAAGGCTAAAGCGTGGTGCATCTCATAGAAAATGACAAATTGTTGATATTATCCATTTTACTGGAATCAGTTCACACCGATTCAGATGATAGACGGTTTTTTCATAACAAGTGCTGTATCAAACGATCCATGGGTAGCACGGTAGGGTTTGCTCTCATTCCAACCAGATTCGTCTTCCCTGGACGGCTGTATGGATAGAGCAGCTGACCGAAGACTTTGTGGCCAATGTCACACATCGATCGGTGATGAGGTGAGTCATGTTCCTAGTTCCCTCAGCTGTGAGTAATGAGCCCAAACCCTTAAACATGACCAATAACAATATCGCTATTTCAGGCTGTGGTGGCAATGAATCGCCTCTGGCATCCGGATCATTTCACCTGCACCGCTTGTAAACGCCCTATCAAGTCATACCTTGCCAGCCAGGTCCAGAGCCAACATTCCGCATTTTGCTCCCATTTTTCAATTACTTTTGTGAATTAGTTTCTCTCCTTGTCGGTTTCATTCCCCTTGACGCACTTAATCTCACTTTTTCACACCTTACGTATATTAGTGCACCTTCGTCTCACGCCTCTCATCGACCTGCGGTAAGTCCCCCATTATTTGCGGGTGTTTGGGTCTCATTTTGGACCCCTCGTCTGGGTCCCGCTCTCGGATGTCGCTTTCCGAATCGGAGATTTGACACTTCGGCCTTTTGAAGAGGCAGATATAATGGCCTGGAGAAGAGATAGACCACTCTAACCACACTGGCACCAGGCTTATTTGTAAGATGAAAACCGTAGAGCCGTTAATTGGAGTACCTGCACACTTCGGATTGTACTTCTGGGCGAAACAATGTACGCAGTATGCGTGGCTGTCAGCGGCCTGAAAACTACGATAACTTTTTTCAGGAACGAAAGTAGTTGGAAAATATGATTAACTGCCGACTCACGAGACAACGTAAGAAGCTGCTACAAGCGGGATGATGCGCACGGGCTCTGCTTAGACTAGTAAACCTAACGTGGCAGCGCTACGGCGTTCCGAGTCCGTGTCTTTCACGTCAACTAGCTAGCGCGTACGATGCCGCGACTCAGTACTAACGACATAAACTCGCTGGATGGGTGGCGCTGACATTATACAAGGTGCTAAATAAAATCTGGAAATCTTATGGTGGCTTGAATGGTGATCAGCCACCTGAAGGCCTGCTGATTAGGTGAAGTTCATAAGCACTATTCGGACAT